TTTCTTTCTTTCTTTTTTTTTTAAAAAAAAAAAAGACCTTCTCTCTGTCTCTGCTCTATACATTATACATACACCCCCCCTTGCTCTCGAACTTCCAACTTACCGATCCATGCCCTTCTCTCTTCTCTTCCTTTCTCTCGTTTTCCTCTTCTTCTTTTCTTTCCCCCGGTCCTCGACGGGGTTATTTCCATCTCTCTCTCGATCACGACTCTCCTGTCGTCTGATAACATGACTTTACCTACTACCTCTACCCACATTACGCACACCCCGGCCCTCCCTCTCTCCACTTCTCCCGCCCTTGGACCCTGTCCCGGGACCGTTTTCTACCCTGATCCCTTCCTTGCCTGTCCATTGACGCTCCACCTCTCCTCCTCGGAGAGGAAAGCTTGTGTACCCAGCTCTCGTACATCCTCATGCCCCTGTCCATTCCCGGGAAAGAGCTCATGCTATATACATGTACCGTCTTCTGTCTTTCCCTTCCAAGGTTGTAGAGCCCTACAAGGCGAGTCATCTCTCACGTCCTCTCTTCTCCCCCCCCTACTGGCCCTCTCTCTCTTCTCGTCATCACCTCCCATTCTCTCCCTCTGTCTTTCTCCTTCTCTTCCTCCCTCCCTCCACCCTCTCTTTTGTGTGTGTGTGTGTGTGTGTGCGTTGTGTGTGTGTGTGCGTCCGCGTGTGTGTCCGCGTGTTTTGTACGTGTGCGTGTGTGGTTGCCTGCTGTGTTTCCGATCGAGAGCTCGAGAGTCCCGCTTCTCTCTCCGGTCACAGTCATAGCCCTTTACTACACACTTTTTTTTTTTTTAACTATTTCTTACTCCCCCTCCTCTGCCTCTCTTCTGCTTCCCTCTTCTCTGTTTCTTCTTCTTCTTCCCTAATCTCTGTTCGCGGCATTTTGTACCTGGTTCCTCCTTGTCCTGCTCTCTTCATTCTTCAATATATTACACCGCCATCCCTCTACTCAAACCTCCACTCGAACCTCTCCTCGTCTCCTCCTCTTGCTTCTCTTTCTCTTATCTGTCTTCTTCATACTTGTCTTCCTCTTACTTATCCCTCTACTTCGTCCTAAACTTCTCCTCCTTCTCCTCCTTCTCCTCCTTCTCCTCCTTCTCCTTCTTCTCCTTCTTCTCCTTCTTCTTCTCCTTATCCTTCTTCTCCTCCTTCTTCTTCTCCTTCTTCTTCTTCTTCCTCCCCTCCTCCCCCCCCCTCCTCCTCCTCCTCCAACCTCTACTGCTTCTTCAATATCCATCAAGACTCAGCTCAACTCGGCCCGCACGCAAAGGGAGACAGAAGTATCAAGCACCACCGAAACCATGTGTATCCAGATTATTGAAATCTACTCGGCCTGCCGCTGCGTCTACTACGCCCACGCCATCGACCAATGCGCCTCCTACGGCCGTCCGAGCCACGATGTCATGACCAAGAACGTCTACGTCGGCTACGCCTGCGACATTCACGTCGCCGCCTACAGCCAGCCTGGCTACTCTGCCTCTGGCCCTGCCTCGGCCGACTCCGCCTACGCCTACGCCTACGCCTACTCCGACTCGGGATACCACAGCAGCAACGGGGGAGCGGGGGCCGCAGACTCCCCCGGAAAGGCGTACCGGTGAAGAGTCCTGTCCCTGGTGGTCGTGGTCGGCCGTTGCTGCTGCTCCCTCCTGTTCCCGACGACGACGCTCCCCTCCTCTTCTCCCTGGTCGACGACGCTCCTCCTCCCCTTTGATCCGGAAGACTGGTTCCTCTACCTCTACGCTTCCAACCCCTCCGACATCCCCGCCCTTGTCGTCTCTTATAATCGTCTCGTCCGTCGTGGCCTCTGTCCGAGTCCTCCTCGACCTGTCCCTGCTACTGCTCCTGCTCCTGCTCTCTCATCCCCTTCCTCCGTGTCCTAGTCCACGAGGCTACAAAGAAAAAAGACGTGGCATCGTTCTCCACTCCTTTGTGCCGTCATGATATCGACGCAAATCTCTCTCTCTCTCTCTCTCTCCAGGGACAATGACTTGATGACTTTCTCTCTCTCTCTCTCCTTTGTTGAGACGACATGGACGCCTGTTTTATTCCCCGCTCTCCCTCTTTTTTCATGTCTCCTTGACATGTACACCCTCTCCTCGACTCTCCCCTCTCCTTTCATTGCCTTTTTGACCCCCCCCCCCCCCCCCCCCCCCCCCCCCCCCCTCCCCCCCTTCTCCTTAACTGCTCTTGTTCAACTCTGTAATGCTATGCATGGCGTGGGGTCCTGGTTTTTCTATTGATTCAGTTCCCCTTTACTAGCTCGTGGTTCTGGGAAATCACCTCTCACACTTTCAACTCTTTTCTCTCCCTGTCCTGTCTATTTATTTTCTTTTTCCAGAGTTCTGCTTCTCTATTTGCTTGTTTCTCAGCCTGTTCTATTTGTTGTCATCAATTTTCTTTCTCTCTATATATCATTGTTTTCCGTCTCGTCTGTTTTCCTGTTCTCGTCTCCTTTTTCTTCCTCTGTTTCTCCCCACAATCCATCGATCCGGCATCGTTGGAATTGCAAGAGGACGAGTCTGGATATTCGTCTCCCTTGATCTCATATGTATTTCATCTCCACCACGTTGATCGTGGCCAACTTTTCTCGCTCGGACGGGGTGAAGATATATATAAAAAGAAATACCAAATCCATCTTCTACGATTGTTTCTTTCTTCTCATCAGAGTTTCTACTTTCTGCTTAGAAAAAAAGACCACACTGCAGGACACAGTTTTTTGATGAGAATATATTCAGATATTGACCCATCTCTCTTACACCGTATGTGTGTCATCATCTAGAAAGAAGAAGAAAGATCCCCCACCATGACTGCGGTGTAGTAAATCTCACCATCTTGACAAGGATGGCCGTGACAGTGACCCACAAACATGATGTATTGCTGACTGCATGCATCTCACAACTGCCGGATCCTTACATACACAGCCTACACTTAGAGAAGGGATTTTCTTAATAGCCAGAGTTATTGCCATGTGGGGKGGGGGGGGGGGTGGTCCAAGTAAGAGGATCTAGACGGGACCTTAAAGAGCACCACCACATAATGATACTAGTAGTAATATGCGGTAGTCACCAGTCAGGTCGAAGCGTCAAAACAACATGAAATGATTGCCAATATCTATAAGACGGGGACATATAATAGTTAATAGTATATATGCACATGGCTTCTTGCAGTCAAAATGCAAAGATGTGATGCAAGAAATTGGGTAATGAAGAGAAAGAGAGAGGGGAGGGGAGGGAAAAAAAGAGAAGAAAGAAAAGAAGGTGATGGGTGAATACATGGATAAAAGGAAAAGAAATATGAAAATATGGAAGGAAAAAAAATGATCGGAATGAGAAACAAGAAAGATTTGGAAAAAAAAATGAGATTGGAGAATTCAAAGACAGAAAATATTAATAATAATAAAAAAAGAACTTGGGAAATTATTGAACATTCAAGTACAAGTCAGTTCCCTTCCTCGTAGGCGTAAGTCTGGGCATCCACATGATGGACTGCTGCTGCCTCGGAGACATATACGGTAGTCCATCATGCTTCTGTCTCTGCCACTTCGATCCTGCCTCTGCTGCTGCTGCTGCTGCTGCTGCTGCTGTTGAAGGAGATGATGATGATGACGAATTATTCGGCGCGAAACCGTTATTATTGCCCGCCGACGGCAAGGTCATCTGTGCCGCCCTGTCCGATCCCAACCGCTTTGCTAGCAGGGCGGACGACGTCGTCGAGGACGTGGCTGATATGTCGGAGCGTCCGTCGTCGGGGTGGCGCGGTGGCGGGTCTGGGTACCGTCCCTCGGAAGAGGTGTACGGGTCGTAGAGGTATGGGTCCGGTGGAGGGGGCGGTGGGGCCCGGCTGTGGCGGAGGGAGGTAGATGCGCGGCTGGCCCTTGCGGAGGGGAGTAGCTGTCTGTCATCTGGTCCGGGGGACGGTTCGATCAGTCCCATTTTCGGGCGTGAATTGTCGTTGATGTAGTATTGCTGTCCCTGCTGTTGCTGTTGCTGCTGCTGCTGCTGCTGCTGCTGCTGCTGCTGCTGCTGTTGCTGCACGGCAAGTCCAAGAGTGGGACTAGGTTGCCCGGGAGGCTGGTACGGAGTTGATACGGAACGCCCGGAAGACCACGGCGGTGGCGGCGGCGGCGGCGGTGGCTGCGGCTGCCCAGGTCGCGACTGTTGCCTTCGCTGCTGCGGGGCCGCAAGTGGGCGTGTACGCGGCGGGGATTCCATCACGAGGGACAGGCTCCTCGATGCTGCGGCGGGGCTCGTTGGTGGCGGAGGGGTGGTGGTGGTGTCGGGTGTGGGGTCGGAGTTGTCGAAGAGGGTGATGCCGCTGCTGCGAGGGGAGGAGCCCCCGTCTGCTGATCGGGAAAAGGATGGTCGTGGCGCAGCTGCTGATCGGCCATTCATCTGGAAGAAGCGGGCTGGTATCGAGGAGCGCTGGGAGTAGACGCTCGACGGGGCGGGGCCGGAGTTTTGCGTTAGTGGTCGCGATGACTGCCGCTGCTGCTGTTGTTGTCGTTGCTGTTGTTGTTGTGCGCGCAACAGCAGATCAGAGGAAGAAGGGGGTCTAGTTGTCGGCGGTCTCAGGTACGAGTCTGTCTTGCTTGTCGGCTTATACGTGCTGCTGCTGCTGCTGGCTGGGGGGAGGGGGAAGAGGTTCGTCGCCCGCTCGCTGAGAACCCAGTTGCCCCGACCGTCGGAGATGTAGTACGGGGCCGCTGAGCTGGGTGCCGTCGAGGGCGGTCTCCACACGCGGCCCGGGGATATGGGTAGGGAGCCGTCGTCTTCTTCGAACTCGGTCATGGAACTCTCCCTTGCTGCCTGCCGTCTTGCTTTCAGGCTGCCTGGTCCCTTCAACCCCCCCCTCTTCTCTGCCTCCGGCGGTGCCTGTTGACGGCTGCTGCTGCTGCCGCCGTTGTTCTGAGGTATCTCGATTCTCAGGGGTAAAGGAGGTTGTGGCTTATCCAGGGATATGCTGCCCCCGGGATTGGCAATGGTCAATCCCATTGGTTTGAGGGGCTTAGGGGAGCCCCGAGAGTGCGCTGGTGATGATGGCTGCTGCTGCCGCTTCTGTTCCTCCTCATCCTGTCTGAGTGTCGCGTTTGCCGCGTATATGGGCAGTAGGACTGGCTTCGCAGGGAGGAGCTTCGACATGGGTCTCGCCGACGACGCTGGTGCCGGCTGTTTCTGTTGTTGCCTCCTCCATATTGCAGGGGACAGTGCCAGACCTATCGACTCGGGTTTCCAGCTGGAACGGTGATAGCTCTTTCTCGGGGCGGCGGCGGCGGCGGCGGCGGCGGCGGCGGCAGCAGGAGGCGGAGGACGAGGGAAGAGTGAGGAGTAGGGCGCCGGCTCGTCTGCAAGCTGGGCAAATCGCCCTGCACCGCCGTTCTCGGTGAGATGAGGCGAGTCATTGTTGTTGTTGTTGCTGCCGCTGCTGCTGTTTCCTCCTCTCCAGGGTCTCCACCCGCCCGGCATGGACGACGCTCTCAGGCTTTTCCTGTCAAAGTTACGACGACGACGGCACCACCGGGCCAGTACGATGGCCAGGATAGCTATTCCTATAGCTGACACGACTCCCACGGATATTCCCACCACTTGGCCCGTTGCCAGTGTGGGTTCTTCCTCTTCATCGTCATCGTCATCGCCCTTTCCCGCCGGTGTTGCCGATGGGGTCTCGGCCCCGTCGCCGGTTGTTGTTGCTGACGTCGCCGTCGTCGACGTTGGCCGTCTCGTGGTCGAAGAGGGCCTGGTGATCTCGGCGGTCGACGTCAGCTGCGTGGCTGTGTCGGCAGCCGTGGATGGGTGCGAGCTCGCCGTCGTAGATGTAGACTCCGTGCTGCTCGCGGTGGTGGTCGTCGTCGTCGTCAGGGCAGGGAAGCTGATGGCCGCGCCGCTGGAGCTCGGTAGGAGCATCGAGGCCGTGATGACCTTGTGAGTGGGCACAATGGCACCAATCTGGTCGATGCAGATGAAGTAGGCGGCATTGACGTCGCTTTCTTTTTTTTCTCGGGCGTGTTAGTACCGTCGGGGATGGAAAGTATTGAAAGATTCAAGAGAGGAGGAAAGGCTTCACCTGTGATCTCATCGTTTCCAGAGCACGCGCCAAACTCCCTCTCCGCCACGACACATTGCACCGCGCCCTCGCCGAGGGTGAAGTCGATGTTTCCCCTTGTAGAACAGAGGCACTGCAGTGAAGGTTCCAGTCCGCACCCTCTTCCCTCATAGCTGACATCTATAAAGGATAGAAAACAGCTCCGCGCGCAGACGGGCACGGGACTGACGACCCCCTGTGACGGATGCAATGTGGCAGTAGCGTGCGTAGGAGTGATCAAGATGCAGAGTAAATATGGTACCAGCGCGTATGAGGAGGACAAGGCAGCCGGTGCCATTCTAACGAGAAACATCTATATCGGGGGAGTCGGCATCAGTGTTTGTATCACGGCATGATCTTATATATATATATATATATATATATACATATATGTGTGTGTATGTATATACGCTGGACAATGCATAGCATGACATTGCCAGGTCGCGACCCGATTGTTTGAGAAACGGAAAGCATGACGAACCTGATGAGAATAAAGAAAGAAGAGGAGACGGCCAGCATCTCAGCAAAGATGGTTTCCGAGAAGATGAAAAGCCATGAGCGTAGAGGGGACGACGGCAAAATCAGACCAGACAACTTGTTCACAACCAAGCAAAAAAAAGGGAACAAGGAGTAAACTTAGAAAGGATCGATGATGATTTTCAAGAAGATTTGCATGAATAGAAGAAGAAGGAAAGAGGGAGTAGAATAAACCTGAGGAGGAGCGGGAGAAAAAAAAAAGAAGAGCGACAGTTTCCTCACACCTTGGAAGCGCTCATGATACATTCGTCACGACTCCCAAGACCAACCCAGCCTGGCCTCCTTGAACGGACTTCCTGGCATCCAGTAAACCACAACATGCAACATGCAATCCCCCCAAGGCAAAAGTTTTAATTTTTGCCAGCGGTAAGAGAAAAGAAAATTTTAATAAAAAAATAATGGGCGGTTGCAAGATCAAGGGGAAACCACAGTTTAGGCGCCGGGGGAGGGGGATGCTGCGGCCCATGAATGAAATCCTCCGGCGCTTAAAGACTTTTGCCACATACGAATGACGCAGATTTCGGGAGAAGATTTAAAAAATCAAGAGAGAAGAGGCAGAAAGAAAAGAGGTACAAGAGGTGAGAGGGAAAATATTGGAGCTCGCATAAATACTCGTACTGATAGTAGCAAAGTCTACTTTATATTCTCGCTACCGACGAAAAGGAACAAAAATCGCATTTGCAAGTACCATACGTGACACCCTCGAGACTACTAGTAATATGCTTCGTATTCGATACCTTGGTTCCAACTTCAACACCGGCAGACCGTAACCACACTAAAGGTCCAATGAAGTAAAAGAAGGGAGGGGCTGGGTGCCACATAGACAAGCTTCTCAAACTTGGATAGGAAAGGAAGGAGAAGAAGAAGAAGACGCCAACGCCCAAAACGTAACAAGATAAGACAGAAACACCATCATCAATGTGAGAAAATGAAAAGGAGGGGGGGGGGGGGGGGTTAGTTAAAAGGGATGGACGGAAAACAAGTAGAAAGCCAGAAAGAAAGAAAAAATTTGTGAAAGAGAAAAATAGAGAGCAAGAAATATGATGTTGACCATATACCTGTTTGTCTCTCTCGTATAGGGTTCTCAACTCGCTGCTCTTAAAACTCGTTTAAAACTCCATAGAAAGCATGCACCTCCGGATTCTACATGGCCATCTCTGCTCGCAGCTTCTCGAGCTCTGCCTCTTCGTCTTCCTCGACGGCGGGTTGCTTCTTGGACGAGACGGCTATTGTCAAAGGAGTTCGATCAGTGACAGTCCCCCAAACTGGTTTCGGAATCCATGTACATATACGGGCGCTTGCGCAGTGTGATGATGCCGACGGCGATTGCAGAAGAGTGTGTGGGGAAGGAGGGGGGATATGGGTAGAGAGGAGTGTGCTTACGCTCGTTCTGAGCCGGCGAGGGCATCTTGTTGACCGCATCGGCCGTGGGCACATTTCCAGTCTTGAGCATCTGCTCGTCCAGGTGCTCCTGCTGGAGCTGATCCAGCTCGTCCTCGAGCTCCATGTCGTCGATGGGTTCGCCCAGCTGGTTTCCCGTGATGGCCTGAACGATCTCTTCGCTGAGCGCATTTTGGTCTCGGAGTTTGTCCCTGTGTTTTTTTTTCTCTTGTCAATCGGCCAGCCTTTGCAGCACACCACCACCACCACCAGGTACCACCGCAGCACGGCAGATATCGAGAAAGCCGAGTAGGAAAGTGTACATACATGGTCTCGTCCACCTTGGCCGGCGTAAGCTTCCCGTGGATCTGCTTCATGGCATCTCCAGCCTTCTCCATAGCAGCCAGGGTCTCGCGGTTGATGTTGGCCGACTCGATCGCGTTGATTTGCTGCTCCAACGTCCCTATTTGCGCCACAGTCTGCTCCAGAGAGTGTTCATGTGTCTTTTTGCGTCTCAAAGCCGCCTTGGCCGCTGTTGTACCATGTCAGCAAGTCCGGCTTTTCCTTCTCCTCTCCGTCTCCGTCCTCATCTTCCTCTGCTTCTTCCTCCTCCTGTTCTTCCTCCTCCCATCTCTCCTCTCCTCTCCTGCTCTCTCGGGGCCGGAATGACCTACCGTTCTTGTTGGTATTGACATTCTTTCGTGCTACGGCCTCCTGCTCGTCGATCTGCGACTGGAGGTACTTCTCCCTCTTCTGAAGCATGTCAAGCTGCGACCTTAGTCCCAGGATGGCATTCTTGGGGCTATCCTTGCGCTTCTGGGCGCCACCGCCGCCGAACCAGCCCCACATGATGATATCGCCGGGGGGGGGGGGAGGATTTGAAGGGATCGAGCACGGTTCTGCGGATCCTCTAGTCTTCGGAGGGAATCTGATATCCAAGAATACGCTAGATCGCTCTCTTTTGGATGCGGTCCTATTTCGAGGCTCGCGGTATGTCGATCGTCGTGGGGACAGAGGGATGGGATCAAGAGATGCTGATTGTTTCCGATGGTGGGGTTGATAACTGCGTTCAAAAACAAGGTCAGATCCTCTCACCCCCTGGTTGATGCGATAGACTTCAAAGGCAGGGCGGTGTGTCGAGAGAGATGCATGCACGCACAAACTCACACACCTTCCAAAGTCTTTGTGGGTTATTCCCTGGGGACACCGCCTATGTCGTCGTCGTCGTCGTGAGTTTTGCGTTGGGTGATTAGGGAACAGTAGCAGCAGCAGCAGCAGCAGCAGCAGCAGCAGCAACAGGCCATTACATGGGAGTCTACGTAGTCACTTGCCAGGCCCCCCCCATCCACCAATGTCCACTACGGGGGCCTGGTAACCAGAAGGTCCAATTGTATGACGGCACCGGCTGGTCAGGCAACCACCATAATTTTACCGAGCCTCTTCCGTCATCACGTGATCTACTCGCAATACACTCTCCAACTCAAGAGACATATCAATGAAATATCAAGAGTCTCAACTTCGTGCTCGGAGTGCTCGACAAACTTCAAGCATACCACCTACGAGGGCGGAGTGTTCGAGGTCATTCTCCTAATGTCCATTCTGGCGTAACTACTAATATAGGGAGGAAACGAGCAAGCTCACAACCAGACAAACAGAGTCTGAATAACGTGTAGTGATGATTATACTTCTAGAGCCTCGTCCCAGATCTCAAACCAGATACGCCATCAAACAGCACTCAGGTTGCAGGGTTGCAGGTAGGTGCAGGCAGGTAGGACCCCAGTTGGCCCCTGCTGCAACGGCCCATGCAACGGCCCCCGCAACAGCTCCCTCTGCAATGACCAGTACTGTACTCTTGCAAGAATCATATACACCTGTGCAGGTCATTCATTGTACAAGAGGTGGTCACTATTGAGGGAGGCCGAGAAGTATTGGTATTCAGCAGCGGTGACGGTGAATACGGAAGGAGCGACCTCTTGAAGGCATCGTGATACACAATGACCGATAACATTCCTACATGGAGAGGCTCCTACTTGAATAGTACAATCGGCCACTCTTCCTCTTTATATCTACTCATAGTATATATCACGCGAAAAGTGTGATGACAATCTTACCACATGACCTATCAGTCCGTCAAGAGGGATGCTACCAGCCCAACAATGATGCCCTCCTCACTACTACATGTAACAAAAGCCACGATTGTGACCTCAAACGCCCTACTAGTCGTACTTGGGATCACTAGCATGTTAGCTCTGCTCATACTGCTAGTGGTAGTACCATTCTCGAAAATTCCACATTGATAACGAGGTGCAAGAAAAGAAAACCGCTTCCTTTATTTAGAAATTCCTTGTGGTTTTGAAGCCCACTCTTCCTAGAGTAAGCTCATCCATCCTCCCTCCCCCATCCCCCCAAGGTTATTTCATGACAACATGATATTAAGTTGCTAGTGGAAATTGGAAGCGCCGTAAACCCCTTTTTTTCCTGCGCCGCCATCCAAAGGACACCCCTCCCTGACAAATACATGTGGAATAAGAAGAAGATAAAAGGAAGAAAAGAAACAGGTCGCACGGTTGGAGAGAGTGAACGCTCATCAGAACGTTGCCCGGTAAAAGTGTGCGTGCGTCCATGGAGAGCGTAGGTTTGGGCCTCTCTGCCAATCAAGCCGACATGAAGCGAGGATTTTGCAACAGTAGGCAAGATCGTTATGGCATCGTAGGTCTATGTTTTTTATGGGTTTCCTCTTTTTTGTTCCTTCCCGGCCCTCCACTGGACTGCAACTGCTAGTCCCCCCTCTTTCTCTTTCGTGTTCAATAGGGAAAGAGCCGAGGCTGCGGTGTTGTTGGGTGTTCTGCGTATTCACGCCTCCCCTAAGTTGTTTTACCGGGGCTTCTCATCCGTGTCGATGTGCCAGACAACATAGTTAGGGAGACCGACAACTGAATAGCCAGCGCGCTTGGCCATCTTGGCGAAGCCTTCAGTCTCCGCCTGGTTCTCGAAAGCGTAGCAGGGGAAGTTGATGCCTGAACGATGGACGTCAGCTTTGACGAGAATGCTGACACCACCAACTCCGTCAAGTTCGATCTCTTCGTTGGGATCGTCGCGCCAGTCGCCCATCTTGGCCATGTATGTGCGACCAGTGTCGTAGTACTCGGGATACCCTGCCAAGGTGTATATATGTCAACAAACTGTTCGTGCCGTCTTCGAAAAGTCTCGTCTACTATTTTCCTCTTCGAGCGTAACTAACCTTCGGCGAGGATGACATCCTTGTCAAGGTTGGCCGTCAATTTGCGGCTCTGCTCCGTTTCGACCCAAGAGTTGTAGTCGACTGTTGCCGCACATGTTAGCTTTGGCACCTCTACATTATGGCAGCATCTCGAAATGTCTACTTACATCGTCCCTCAATGTCGACGCCATTTTCGTAGCGGTGGAACCAGATGTCTTGAACATATGAGTTAGCAAGCAAGTCGAGCAGTCCTCATGGGGGGTGGGAGAAACTGCGTACTGGGCACAACGATGTCCTTGTCGTGAGCAATAAGATCCTCGAGGATCCTGTCGGGGCTGTCGACAATGTCGACATCACGCCAGTAGACCCACGAGTGGTCCGGCTTAAGGGTGGTCGAGAGCAGGTAGTTCCTGGCCTGGCCCAGGGCCTTGCGCCGAGGTCCTTGGGCAGGGAAAGCATGACGCTGCTCAACGTCGTTGGGAAGGATGAAGTGGAAGTCCTTCTCGACAATGGTGGCACTGTTGAAGGGGATGTTATCCGGTCGCTTCTGAATACGGTCGAGCTCGGAGGCAAGGACAGCGAGGGTGTCGTCGCTCGAGTCGGAGACGAGGAAACCAAGGTCGATGAGGTGGTGCGGGTAGGTGAGCTCGACCAGGAGCTCAAAGTACTTGGACAGGTAGGGCGAGGCGTCCTTGACGGGGGTGAGGATGAGAATCTTCTCCTCGTTGATGACGGCCTTGTGTGTCGACTTGATGGGGTTCAGGTCGACGTGCTCGATGGTGGATGAGTCGACCTTGAGGGGCTTGTGGCGGTTGAAGATGACGGGCGTCTGCATGTGGGCGTTCCATCGCGAGTATTCGTTTTGGGTCATGTCCAGCGGCGACTTGGCAGGTCCCCAGCAGTAGAAGCTGAGGGCAGAGGACGCCAGTTGTTAGCACAGACTTCTAGAGAGGGAGCTCCGAGGAGAATCGTTTACCTCTGCATCTCGGATGCTGAGCTGGAGATGCCACGCCATAGCAGGGCAATGATGCCAAAAACGGCGCAGAAGAGGAGGAAACGCGGCTTGCTGACCGTGTTCCATAGCACTCTTATCTGGGGCGCACGAGCCCTGGCAGTCTTCCACTGCAATCCGCCCTTTGGGAGAAGCATGATAAGAGAGGTGTGTGTGTGTGTGTGTAAGTGTGTGCGTGTGTATTTGAGTCAGGTTAGACCCGACTTGTTGCCAGAACTTAGCGACGCGGGCAGCCCAGTCGAAAGGTGGCGTTTGTCGCAAGGAGCCGTGCTTAGCAAAACCCCCCCGTTTTCGATGGCGATGATCGAGGAAGGAGAGAAGAAGGAGGACGAAAACGAAGATCCTGTTATTCGAGATGGGCCTCCAGATCGACTAGCGTACGAGGCGCGGATGTCGTCGTCGTCTCCTACGAGTTTATAGTAGTCGTCGTGATAGGGGTCGCACGTGAAATGGATCGTCGTCGTCAGCCAGGGGGCGAGGTAATAGCGGGTACAAGGAAACGAGTGTCGGTTACGCCTTGAGGCGGGATGGATGGTGACGAGAAGAGAAAGAAGCCAGCAGCTCGGAGATGGCGGGGGTCGTGGGCGCGCAAAGATGGCTCTACGTCGTAAGAGCCAGATCGTCGTGGAGCAAGCAAGAAGTTAGAAGGCCAGATCGGGTACGAGAGAGGGCCTCTACGCCATAAACGTGGCTATGGGAATTCTCTGGGCATCGAGATCAGAGAACCATTCAGGACTCAGCGTCAACCCAACAGGCGGCGCATTTAACTGGGGGTCGACCGGCTAATGGCAGGGGCGAGGAGAGGTAAAGCCGCCAAAGGGAGGGTACGTGTTTCCCCCTGTAAGCACAACAGGTTGGGAGGGGGGGGGGGGGGGGGGGGGGGGGGGGGGGGGGGAGGTAGCGTACGCACTAATACCTGTAGAATTATTACTCTATTTGCCCGCGTGCATAGGTAATATTAATACTCAGGAGCAGGACATAGGTATTATGTAGCATTACTAAGCACCCGGGCCGCCTACGGTGCACAAGAAAGTTAGGGGTGCTCCATGTCTCTGCCAAACGTATCGTACACACAGACCTGAGAGCAACAAAAAGAGAGATTACGCGTAGATGTTCTCTCCGGGCCGTCTTTGATAATACTTCTATCATCACTCCTGACATACTACCTGGGTAGCAATATTTGCATTCTCTCGCCGAGTTTCACAAGTGTGGACCCATGAATTTCCCTATTCGAGTTTGTCATTCAGTGAGACAGCCGTGCTCTGAACCTGTCAGAGTATAATAAGTATTGAATACACACCCAACGTTCAAGATCAGTCGACAGTGTTGAATATGGTCCATGACAAACCTGCTTCAGCCCGATGATAAAGGCGATAATCAAATCCATGGCCGAGTAGGGGCAATACTACCACGAACATGGTACCAGTAGTATTTCACTGACGGAACCGAACGATAGCGGCATCAGTGCCAACATTCATGCTCGCCAATTTACCAACCTGAGTTCCCGGGTAAGAGCAAAGCAAAGCATCTCAACGTAACATCTCTGTGCTACGTTGTACCACCGACCCGGCATTATCTTTACCTGCCTGTCAAGTCAGTGGGTGTGGGATAATGGTATTTTACGAGAAATCCACCGTAGTCTCGAGACAGGCCGCATCTATCTGATCAAGTCTGCAAGACCTGTATACGACAGTCTATAGCTCCTGCATCAACCCGCATCATCGTCATCGTATACGAAGTCTTTAGAGTGGAATTACGATGTAGGGCAAATCGAAACATTCCCGGAATATTGAGAGAGAGCCCTGGGGAAGAAGAAAAGAGCCACGAGTATATATCCAGGCCGCCGTACTGTTATCGTACGACGAACGCTGTCGGCTAGTAACATGTCTGTTCGCGATGGTTCTACAGATTATCGCAGTGACAGGGGTTATGAACGTATGCCTGAGGCAGGCTTCTCACCACCCCACCCCCAGAATGCGCTAGCTCTAGCCGCCGCACTTGCATCTAAATGTCCGTATTAATCAGCTTCGACGACATGCCAGTGCGCGATCTTTCAACCTCAATATCCCCTCACTATCAGCTCCATGAAGCTCACGTGATGCAGATCTGAGTTGTCAATTCATTCTCGGAGATTCTGCAGTCTATTGAGCGGTATCAAGACCGTGGGCCTACACTTTCGACGGGCCTCACCAACGACGTCATATGCCTCGCACGCTCATGGTGCGCCAGCAGTCTTTGGGTTATACAGCACGTTCAACCCTCGACACGGTCATCTTTTCTTCTTTCATTCTTCTACCTTCCCCCCCCCCCCCGCAAAGATGACAGCCGAGACGAGGCAGTCATCTCGCCTCAAGGCCCGCGATGCAATGTCACCCTCCACGGAGCCTGTACAGCCACAACCGCCACAGTCTAGGAAGCGAAAGCCATCACTAGCATCATCGCCAGCTGTGGAAGAGCCCAGCACCCCGGCCAAGAAACGCAATGGAGTGTTATCGCCATCTACACCTATTGCTACTACTGCTGCTACCACCACTGGCGCTTCAAATAATGTCGATTTCACGGATGGTGCGAGTAAGAAGCCGCGGAACGCTACTGTCACCCGCCTAGCCGGCACCGACGTATCCAACGCCACACTCCTCTCGCCAGAGTCATCACGGATTATTGCATCGCGAGATGTCGAGACGCTATCGCCATCCAAGGCTCCAAGAAGCAAGTCTACGACGGCTAACATACTGGAAGAAGCGTGCGAGTACCTGATCCGTGTCGACGAGCGGATGCGCCCCATCGTCGAGAACAACTACTGCCGGGTCTTCTCGCCCGAGGGCCTAGCAGAAAAGGTAGACCCGTTTGACCGGCTGACGAGCGGCATCATATCACAGCAAGTGTCTGGGGCGGCAGCTAAGTCCATCAAGGCCAAATTTGTGGCCCTATTCCAGCATCAAGATACAGCCTCTACTGCTGCTGCTGCACCGACAGGAGAGGAGGAGGAAGAGGAAGAGGAGAAGAATGCGAAGTCAGAGGCAGCCCGTTTCCCGCACCCGTCCGAGGTAGCGGGTTGCTCCATAGAGCGACTACGCACGGCGGGCCTCTCCCAGCGCAAAGCGGAATACATCAAGGGTCTGGCGGAGAAGTTCGTGACGGGGGAGCTGAGCGCGCAGATGCTGCACGACGCACCGTACGACGAGGTCCTCAAGAGGCTTATCTCGGTGCGCGGGCTGGGCCAGTGGTCGGTCGAGATGTTTGCGTGCTTTGGGCTCAAGCGGCTCGACGTCTTCTCGCTGGGCGACCTGGGCGTGCAGAGGGGCATGGCGGCGTTTGTGGGCAGGGACGTGGCCAAACTAAAATCAAAGGGTGGCAAGTGGAAGTACATGCCAGAGAAGGAGATGAAGGAGCTGTCGGATCGGTTTGCGCCGTATCGTAGTCTGTTCATGTGGTACATGTGGCGGGTGGAGGAGACGGACGTGAGCACCATGGAGTAAGATATACTAGCGTGAGTGAGTAAGTAAGAAGAGAGAGAGAGAGAGAGAGAGAGAGAAAGCACCGTGGGAGTGAGAGCACGTAATGGAACAAGACACGACGAAAGCGGAACGAGGATGCGATCAACCTATTTTTCTTTTTTCAAGAGGGATACGGATACTTTTGATATACGAGTACACGAGCAATACCAAGTAATATGAACAATGTACCGGTATTTCCGTCAGCAATACCCTATTGCAGAGTAAGACGAGATCTATCACTACCCAAAGTATGAGTTCGTTAACAGGTATGTTCGCATTTTGAACCAAAAAAAAAAGTAACTCTTGCGTGTAGCATCCCCCACGGTGGAGTTCTGACTTTTAAGAAGTGCGATCGGTGGACGATCAGCTCTGCTCCTCTTCCTTGACACGGTGTACAGATTACTCGTAGTAGTATCATATCAGTATTATTACTAGAAGTATCCGTACTCTATGTTGGAGGCCTGCCAGAACTGCCGAAAGGGATTATTATATCCAGGAGTCATTTCGTTATTCAATACTCTATCCTCCCAGGGAAGATTCAAACGGGAACAAATGACGACAATGCTTCACGGAAACGGATACTATCATGAAAAGCGAAAAGCGCTGATATGCAGTGGAAAAAAATTGGGGACGAATAGATGGAGGAGGGGGGCCATCACGATGGTCGTCACGATTGTATGGAGCTTGACCGGGCAGACGGTACGAGTATAATATGTGCTGAGTCCTGGGTTTACTCGTCAGTAGTATTATCTGCCATAAGGCGGGCCGTAGGTACGGCCTACGGAGTATCAATACTCACGATGAAGACGGGTTTGACTGCGTGAATCCGGTGGCATGAAAATAGGGGTCATGATCGATTGATTTTATGGATGGATCAGGATGGAAGGACTTATGACGACGGGGCTCGATTTGGGGGGAGGGGGCGCTTATGCGTGAGAGCCTAGAGGGGGAGCGTGCCCGAAACCAAAGAGGATGATCCTGTCTAGCATGCATTATATTATTAATATCGTACGAGGAGGCAACATTTTTTCCAAATGACTCAATGTGTATCATGTTTGAATGATGCAAGAATCTACACGTAAGATGAGGATTGACAAGTTTAGGTGAGTAAAACCATCTCCATCCGGTGCGCATATCTGCATGTAATCTGTACTGTATCGTATCTGGGTATCCGTGGTCGCTGTACCTTTTGAGGTGAGAGGGAGATGCCACAAGTGCCGGAGACTCACCTGGCACGTATACGTACACGGGACTAATGAGGATTGACATCGACTGGGAATTAAACAGGAATTGGGAGGCGGGTCATTTCCCCTGGTGTGTTGGGCGAGACTCTGATCTACGCTGTGCTCGGAGAGCTCCATCAGCATATCTCAAATTCTTCCTTCTTTCCTTCGTCCTCACCTTATCTTCCCTCCCTGAACAGTGATCGCACACACCCGTCTCCTTCCGACAGGGTAGGCGAGATAAAGGGAAAAGCAAGCTGCGAGTTTTGGTAGCCGATGATAGAAGACGGGAATCAATAAGAATATTATCAGCAATGAGGCTGTGCAAGGTTCAAGTAATATAGAGGTCGTCCGTCCAAGTACGACCACATGTATCGTATCGTATTCATACCCGTAGTGTGCGTGTACGTGTGCGTGTGCGTGTGCGTGTGCGTGTGCGTGTGCGTGTATGTGTGCATTGTGCATTGTGCATAAAAGCAAAACCGTGGCACATAATGGGAGGACAACCACGACGACGACCGATCCTACTAACATAATCGTACAGCTGAGAAACATGAGGAAAAATAAAAAAGACCCAGTGTCGATTAATTAAAAAAAAAGATGAAATGAAGTTGGATTCTTTTCCGTTTAGAGTTCCGGCCAAGGCGTGACCGGCGGAGAAGAAGCCCACATGACGGGACGGACAGCTTGTCTATTCGACAAGAACGGGAGACAAAATGGTATTTTTAACCACCCCCCCCACTGTGAAATCTACGATAGTACCATGGTATGAAGGTCCCATAAGAAAAACACGAGAGTTGAAGAAGAAGAAGAGTTGAGGTCTACCACTCCGTATTATTACAGTCTACTACTCGTACTCCGTATGCCAAAGAGTTTTTACCAATGGGGGGGGGGGGGGGGAGACACGAGCATCCATCCTTATCGTGGTTCGGACCGGGGGGGGGATGAGGGAAAACGGATCAGGATTGCATGGTAAAATTGAATGACAAGCCCCGCATATCACCGAGTATCAACGCATACGGTACATGTACAGGTATCATTACGACGTTATCACAGCAGCTATGTACTCCGTACTAGTGGTAATAGTATGAGTTATTCATACTTACCCGGGCAAGCAAGCTAAGGCCAAGTCAAGTTTGTTAGGACACCACCATCCGAAAAACCCTGTAGGCCTCCGATTCCCAAGGGTAAGGCAAAAAAAAGCAGGTGAAATTTGGTAATAGCGGGCCCCCCTCCCCCCCCAATCAAGGGGTGGTTGGCATTGGATCTTTCTTGGCCCTGGTTTGCGTGGACTGGCCTCGAGATGGGGAAGGGGGGAAGAAGGGAGAGGGGTGAGGCTGCAGAGCGAAAAAAAAAAGGAGAAAGGAGCGGGGGTGGGTGTCGATGTAGCACCATTGTTTTTTTCTCTCTCTCTCTATAGCGTTATGAACTAGGGAGGAGCATCTTGTTATGTAGGCTGCTGTATCCAAGGATTTGTGTTTGTTGGTCAATTGTTACTCAGTGAGAGAGGGAGTTGATGATTCCGAGTAATCATGCTCTGCATAACAATACCTGTACGAGTAGTACGGTCATGTGTGTGTGAGAGAGAGAGTATTAATTAATAGATATTGAAACGAGGACATGGGCCATGTTACCTTTAAAAAAAAATGCATGGATCCAATACTACAACTTGCTCGTGTACGAACAAGACTACAAGTATCACATATGACGTATAGTGGTGTAATGTATTGGCCCCGAGAAAGAACTCGTATCGACACGAGGGCCAAGGGAAGGCCCCGATCTCTCTCACCCTCTCTCTCCCTCCCTCTCCGCGGCTGAACCCAGGGACCGTCCATGGATGGTGTCCATTGATGGTGGAACACCCCGTGATGAGGCAGAAAAAAAAAGAGAGGTACTTTCGGATAACAGTGGCCCAGTAACCTCGGAGAGTATTGCTCGTAGATGATGAGCAGAGAGGCTCAGAATAAGAGAGAAAGTCTTTCCCATCATCTATTGAACTTGCCTCTAGCTCAAGCAAAGACGAAGAAGGGAAGAAGAAAAAAAAGAGGCCGGATTCTGTGAGGGACCGCATTCCGGAGCTATATTACGTAGTGGGGAGCGGAAGGGGGACAAAACCACCCACCCCACCCCCAAACGATGGAGCAACAAAGCTGATGCATTCCACGCCGTCAGACAAGTGCATTCCCACTTGGCGCTCTGTACGAGATTGAAGGTTGATTCTAGGGGAGGGAGGAAGCTTCTAGGATGGGAGAGAGAGAGAGAGAGAGAGGGAGAGGCAGGATGGATCGTTACCTGTCGACCAGGACTCGACGGCCAAGATGCAGGACAAGTTGACTTGAAGGACGGAATTCAACGGCATCGCAGGAGGAAAGACGACGCGTCGTAGTACAGTGAGACGATACCACGTAGACAGCGACGCGCATGTACCAACACTACGATACTACTCAAGTCGGCACCACTACGAGTGGCAACGGAGTGCCTAGCGGCCCTACCTGTACGGTACATTCATTATACTCTACCCGTCCAACCGTCGCTGCAAGCATCACAGCATGCAAGATACACGCTCTGCGCTGTGGAGGTCGCAAGGGTGGGAACTTGCACTGGACTTGAACTGGGAATCAGCTTCATTGCTGGCTCCACACGGTGACGCTCCCCTTCCCACCCCCCCCTACCAGGTATTTACTGCGAGTACGAGTACTACGAGTATCAATACTACTGCTACGTCGTACCGGTACGGGTAGAGAGATAATCATTCGCGACCCCTGGCAGCTTATGAGCGTCGGGCAACTGCAGATTAGTGAGTGTGGCATCAAACAGACGATCGTCCTTTTCTCTCCCCTTTTCTCTCTCATTCTTTTTTTTTTTTTTTTTTTTTTTTTTTACCATCAGCTTTGTGTTCCCAGCCCTCTGGACCTCATCTCTCCTCGTACACGGCTGCTCTCGTGATGCAATGACAGGAATTCAAAGACCAGCCATCTCGACTCCATGTCAGCAGTACTCGTGGCAGAAGACCGTCGTAATAATAGAACTACAACCTATCCATGAATGCATCTCCCGGACAATGCCATGGGAAACCCCCCCCCCCCCCCCCCCCCATCACGGACTCTTCGGTGGCGGTGCCACGGCATGTCTCTCCCGTCGAACATGTATGGATGGTACTTGTACGTATCTCTCTCTCTTCCTCCCATCTAACACTCTCAGGCTGTTGTTATTAATACCACTACTACCATGACGAGTACTACGAGTACGTAGTTACAGTACTCTCCTCTCTCGTAATACAGCGTAAATAACGTTCTCGTACGTGTCGAAGAGGAGGGGGGTGTGTGGCAGTGGGGGGGGAAGGGGAGGGAGGCGTCATTGTATCACTTGGGGGGGGGGGCTCCAACATCGGCGGCACTTGATTCGTATCAGGTCCACAGAGAGAGAGGGTCAAGAGGCACGGACTCGGAAGAAGAGAGAGAGAGAAAAGGGTCAGTTATCACTGTGAAGAGAGATAGAGAGAGAGAGAGAGGGAGAGAGGGAGAGAGGGAGAGAAAAGGTCTGGCCAGAACAGAGCCGAGCTCCCGTTTGCCCCTGGGCCCTGGTTGCCCCTGGTCATCACTCATCACGTCTTATGCTAACCAGGTACTCACGCTAGGCCTCCGGACCCACTTATCTCCCAGCTGCTCTCTCTGGTTGCTCCTCTGATTGCTTTGCCGGCTCATTTACTCTGATTGCCATTCCCTTCCCTCTCGTCTTCCCACCCCCTTCCCGAAACCCATTTCTCCCTCCTCCCTCCCTCCCTCCCACAACACAAACAAAGGACTTCCTCTTTTCTTGTCACTTGTGCTCCTCACACTCTCTCCCTCTTTTTTTTCTCTTTCTTTCTCTTCACGCCGCTCGTTCAAGGCTCTTTTTCCAACACAGAGCACTCATTATTTTTTTTTCGCCCTTCCGTATTACATTTATCTTAATTCCGGTCTTCGCCGCGTCCAATTGCCTTTTCTCTTCTCTCGCCCGAATTCTCGACTAGAACGATTTTCGAAAGAAGAAACAAGGAAACACTACCTGTGAGTATCAGCCCGACGAGGCACTGAACTGCACCGTGCCATGCAAACCTTGCACACGCACAAACAAACACCCACATACACTGCCGTCCATTCAACATGCTCTTGCATACCATGCGTGTGTTTCTCTCTCGTCGATGGACAATGACCATCAAGGGATCCCGAGGAAAGGGGGAGGGGGAGGGAAGAAAGGACGATTCAGGAGATTTTCGGTTGAAGGTTTGCTATCAGAACCGCCAACCGTCAATAACCGTCTTGCCTACCGTCTGCCAACTGCCCAAGAGTTGCGTCAGCGCCGCTGGTCGCTCGGACGGATGGTGCTTCACTTGGGAAGGAGCAGGGTGAATTGGCTGTGTGCCTTCACATCCCATCATTCGAGCCACCGAGTGGTGGCTCGATTGATAGCTGTTAGCTTGATGACGGCTCGACCTCGCTTTCCTACCCCTTACCCGGAGCTGATTTGCCCATCTGCAATGCGCTGCACACTGCCACGCCACTTCATTGGCTTCCGGGCACAGCCGCTGCAACTTCTCCCACACCATGGCAACGATCGTGTTTCCCCACCGTGTTTTGTTTACAGCTAGGACCCTCTACTTCAACCATTCAGTGTCCTACCATGGTGCCGCAAAACTACGCGATCCCTGCATTTTCCACCGTCTTGACGTGTAATACTGACATTTTATCCAGTTCACAATGCACTCCGCCAAGACTTTCGCGGCCGTTGCCGCTTTTGCCGCCACGGCTTTCGCTGCTAGTAAGAAGCCCCAGAACAGTTCTCCGTCATCCATCAACGAGAGCGCTTTGCTGACAATCCTGATGAACAGCTTGCAAGGATGTCACCATCGAGACCACTGGCCAGGCCATCTCCTGCGACACCATCACTGGTGACCTGACTGTCGACGAGGCCCTCGCTGGTGACCTTACCATCACCGGCCCCAAGACCATCAAGGGTGACCTCATTGTCAACAACGCCACCAACCTGCTCTCGCTTACCAGCAGCACCATCTCCTCCATCGAGGGCCGTTTCGTCCTGACCAGCCTGAACTCTCTCAACACCATCAGCATGGACAACCTCCGAACCATCGGCAACCTCGAGATGCAGAAGCTCCCCGCTCTCCGTGACCTCATCTTCGGTACCGAGGGTGTCACCAAGGCCAGCCAGATCGAGGTGTCCGACACCTTCCTCTCGAGCCTCAGCGGCCTGAAGATTTCGTCGGTCGACTCTCTCAACATCAACAACAACGACCGTCTCACCAAGTTCGAGTCTGACCTTGTCAACATCACCGACACCCTCATCATCACCTCCAACGGCCGTGACATGGAGATCTCCATGCAGAAGCTCGAGTCTGCTGCCGAGATCCAGATTGCCAACGTCAAGAGCTTCCAGGCTCCCCTCCTCTCCAACGTCAGCGCCTCGCTCAAGTTCGACAAGTGCGACGAGCTCAAGAGCTTCTCTGCCCCCAACCTGACCTCCGTCAAGGATGCCGTTTCCTTCATCAACAACAAGAAGCTCACCAACATCTCCTTCCCCATCCTCAAGACCATTGGTGGCGACCTTCGCATCGTCAACAACACTCTCCTCAAGACCATTGACGGCTTCCCCAAGTTTGAGTCTTGCGCTTCCATCAACTTCGGCGGTAACTTCAACCAGTGAGTTTCCTCTCCCCTCATGTACCGGCGATTTCAGCATTCGTTCCGGTGTGCTGACCATTCTTCCCTCTGCAGGATCAAGCTGCCCAGCCTCGACAGTGTCGGTGGAACTGCCCAGATCAGCACCACCACCCAGAACTCGACTGTCTGCGACGACATCAACGACGCTGATGACGATGGAAAGATCAAGGGCGGTGCCAAGTGCACGTACGACAACGAGAACGCCAACGAGGGTGGTGACAAGGACGGTGGCGAGACCGGCTCCGGCTCCTCCAGCTCCGACTCCAGCAGCGACGATGACGACAGTGCCGCCGGCATGGTCGCCATCAACTCTGCCCTCATTGGCCTCGGTCTCATCGCCGGTGTCGCTCAGCTGCTGTAAGGTAGTGGTGGATCTGTCTTTGTACTACTAGTGGTATAAAAAAAGGCGATTCGGAAAAAAGGATATCCCCCCCCCTCTTATACGGAATGTGGCGTCGTTTTATATTTTCATCTTTTCAAATGGTCTCTCAAACCCATATGCCTTCCGCTCTTTTCTCCCTTCAAGCCGTGAACAAACCCATGGGTGTCGGCCTACTTTAGGTTACATCAATGAAAGGCCTGCGACCGATGCAATGTTTATTTTTTGATTCGTTGGGCCTGGCTGTATACGGTGGAACTTAATAATGGACTGTACTTTTTTGTTTTTCAGTGTGCTGTTTTGCTTTTGAAATATTATATACCATTGTGATTATGTACAGTGTGTATCATGCCATGTGCCATTACATGTCTCTTGTCTTTCCACTTGAAGTTTTCGCCCTACAGTATTCTTGTCTTTCTTAACGACTCTTCCGTGCCCGCCAATGCAATCTGTACATGACGAAGGTCACGTCGGCACCATCTGTCCATCCGTTCGTCGACGTCTTGTCCTACCTAGGAGTATACACCCTCATCGAACTTTTCCAAGTCGTAAAAGGCAGGCTCAATCGTGTTACCGTTGAATATACGACCACGAAGTTCATTGACGGCCTTTTTTTTTTGGTTGTGTGTGTGTGTGTATGTATGTGTTAGCATGGAATCGTGCACTTGTGTATATTATATATATATATATATAGAGAGAGAGAGAGAGAGAGAGAGAGATAGAGTAGAGAGAGCAATGTAAAGAAGGAGGAAAAGAGAAAGAGGTGTCAAGAGAGAAGGAAAGAGAGAGAGAAACCTACCCGTAGTGCAGAAACTTGATTGGTGAATTTGATAAAAACCTGGCGATTCTCCTGATCGATGTATAATCTCTCGACACGACCGTACTATCACAAGTCAGTACGCAACATGCTTCCATGGATGAAAAAGAGAGAGAGAGGGAGACTACCTTTTCACCACACTCCTCACCAATCTCCTGACCGAGACCGTCCTCTATCTCGGCCTGTAGATCGTCCATGCCCCACAGCATGTTACGCAGGACAATCACCTCGCTCATCCTGCTGCCTCCGTCGTCTGGACGTCGGCCGTGGGCCGCGGTGCCGCCGATGATCTTGCCCTTGCCGGCTGGTTCGGCCCAGCCCCCGCCGTCGGCATCAGCGCGCCTACGCCGCTTGTCCACCTTGACGCGGAGGGGGTTGACGATGCCGGAGGAGTCGGCGCCCAGCCCGGTGCCGGCCGTCCAGCCGTACTTGCTCATCAGGCGGGCTGCGAAACCGGATTGGCCGGGGAGGTTGGAGCGGGCTGCTTCCTCTCCCCCCCCCGATGTGTTGTCTTGATCTGCTTGTTGAGTTGAGGCTTCTTCTGGTTGGGTGTAGCGTATCGGTGCGGCCGAGATTGTTGCCGTGCTGGGGGGAGGGTGTTGAAGTTCAGAAGGAGGAGGAGGCGGAGGGGAGACGGGTGGTGGCGCAAAGTTGTATGATGGTGGAGGGGCGAATTGGTCTAAGATGTATGGTTAGCAAGAACCGCTGCAGGGCATATGATGGATGGATGGATGGATGGATGGAAGGACGGATGAACTGGAGTGTGGAAACGCACTTTTGGGAGCTGGTCTGTTGCCGTCATCAGAGGATAGGTCACTGTCCGGATCGACATCCCGTCTACGGTGCCTGTACAGTAAGGCCCTCCACTCCCTCACCTCCTCCACCTTCTCATCGCTATGGAGGTACTCGTCTATATTCGTCGGACGGGCCGGGTCGTAGATGTCGTCCCAGTCGGTCTCGACGAATGCGGCATCGTCCTGCCTATTCTTCTTCTTGCGCTTACGTCCGCCGCGCTGGCGCTTCTCCCCCGTACCGTAGAGCCATTCGTCCTCTTCCGTCGCGGCCCAGTCGGCTAGAGAGGACTTGCTGGGGGGTGCGGCTCCTGCTACTGCGCTTGGTGGTGGCGGCGGTGCTGCCGTTGTCGCTGGTGGTGCTGGCTTGGGGGTTGGTCTGGGACCGCCGGGGATTGCCTTACTTCCTTGCTTGGGTTGGGGGCGACGTATGGGTTGGAAGCGCAGCGCTGGGTCTACAGGTTTCTTGGCTTGGTCGGAGGAGTAGAGCACCGGGGCGGACGAGATGGTGGCGCTGTCGGACGGGGTTTCGTTGGGATCGGTGAGGTTGTCGTAGAGGGACAGGCCTCGTGGGGGCGGAGGGGGTCCCATGGTGTTTTTTTTTCTTCTTTTCTTTTCTTTTCTTTTCTTTTTTTTTAGGGGGGGGGAGGGGAAGAGAGGAAGAGGTGATGGCGGATGTTGGAGGAGGGTCAGTTTGGGGAGTGTGATGGTAGAGTTGGAGGTCTGTCGTCGCATCAAGGTTGGGGTGACAAAATCAGTGGAGTGGTAGTGCTGTAGGTAGGTATGTACCCGCGCGGCATACCACAATCTGTTGTCTGCGTGTGGTCAAGCATCTGCAGAATTGCCGGTGAAGCTGTGAGATGAGGTGACCCGATGACTGTGATTGCTTACTTTGAAGCCAATTCACTCATCGTCATCGTCAGAAGGAGCATGGCAGACAGGTCCAGAGTATAAAGTCAGAGCAAATAAAGCTGAAGTCGTGGCGCCACAGGCGAAGCAGATACCACATACATGTACATGTACGAGTCGTAATAGCACTCAGTATTCTGTCACCTGTCAGCCACAGCGTACAACGCGCAGCAGCCGGAAAAACAATGGAGCTCACATAAGTTTGGCGCCTGTTTTCCTTGCCTTCTGCCCCTCCATCGCTCCTGCCCCGCGAAAAACATACTATAAATGCGACAGGCTCCCACCTCACTTCTCAGCTAAGCCTTAACAACAACCCACTCATTCCCAGAAGACGTCTTTCTGTTTATCGTCTCTTGTTTCGCCTCACATAGAGGGGAGAATAACGGATTACAGAACGCCGACATCGCCAGAATGGCCGACCTAGCGAGCCGTATCACCAAGCCAGACGGTGAACCTGCCGACACCACCACTGCTGCTGCTCCTGCCGCCGCTCCTGCTCCCGCTGATGACCAGCAGACTGATGGTGCCGTCGAGCAGCTTGGCGGGTCGGGCCTGCAGGAGCCCGACTACGAAGTCGAGGTTTCTCTGAGTGCCCTCCAGGACAATGCCGCTACGCCTTTCTACTCTGCCTCGTCTTGGCAAGACCTCGGTCTGTAAGTAAATATGTAATGTTTTGAAAACATGGCTTCTCAGCTCACTTGACGCGTGAGCGGAGCGAGTGAGTATCGCTGACAGTCCATCACCCCCCCCCTCCATATCTAGCTCCGAGGCCATACTCAAGGGTCTCATGGCCCTCAACTTTCTCAAGCCTTCCAAGGTTCAGGGCAGGTCGCTGCCCCTCATGCTCAGCGACCCCCCAAGGAACATGATGGCCCAGTCCCAGTCGGGAACGGGAAAGACGGCTGCCTTTGTCACCGCCATACTGTCGCGCGTCGACTTCAGCAAGCCTGATCAGCCCCAGGCCCTCGTTCTCGCCCCCAGCCGTGAGCTGGCCCGTCAGATTGAGGGTGTCGTCCGCGCCATCGGACGCTTCATCCCCGAGCTCAAGATCGCTCCTGCCGTCCCCGGTGCCCTGGCTCAGGGTGAGCCCGTCAAGGCCTCCGTCATCGTCGGTACCCCTGGCCGTGTCATGGACATTACCCGTCGTAAGCAGCTCGATGTGTCCCAGCTCAAGGTCCTGGTCCTCGATGAGGCCGACAACATGCTCGACCAGCAGGGTCTGGGCGACCAGTGCATGAGGACCAAGGTGTAAGACTATGACTCCCCTCTATCGAAAACAGTGAGAGCGACAGACAGTAAGCAAAACTGACATTCTTCAATGTAAAAAAAAAGTTTGCTTCCCAAGGATATCCAAGTTCTTCTGTTTTCCGCCACCTTCCCCGACAAGGTTAACAACTACGCCGTCAAGTTTGCGCCCAACGCACACTCACTCAAGCTCCAGCGTAGCGAGCTTACCGTCAAGGGCATCTCCCAGATGTTCATCGACTGCCCCAATGACAACACCAAGTACGACATTCTCTGCCGCCTTTACGGTCTCATGACCATTGGCCAGTCTGTCATTTTCGTCAGGGTATGTGCAAAGCAAAAAGAAAGAAAAAAGAGAGAGAGAGAGAAGAAGAAGAAGAAGGAGAAGAAGAATAAGAAATACCTATCTGGCTCTGTTTGTATACTGACCTGTCGAATAGACGCGAGACAGCGCCACCAAGATCCAGGAGCGCATGATGGCGGATGGCCACAAGGTCTCTGCCCTGCATGCAGCCTTCGATGGAAACCAGCGCGACGAGCTCCTGGCTAAGTTCCGGTCGGGCGAGACCAAGGTTCTCATCACGACCAACGTGCTCGCGCGAGGCATCGATGTCTCGTCAGTGTCCATGGTCATCAACTACGACATCCCCATGAAGGGCCGCAACGATGAGGAGCCCGACATGGAGACATACCTGCACCGCATCGGTCGCACGGGCCGCTTCGGACGCGTCGGCGTCAGCATCAGCTTCGTCTACGACAAGAAGAGCTTCGACGCCCTGAGCAAGATCTCCACCCACTTCGGCATCGACCTGGTCAAGCTCGACACAGACGACTGGGACGAGGCCGAGGAGCGCGTCAAGGAGGTCATCAAGAAGAACAGGGCCCAGGCCGCCTACGCGCCCAACGCCCTGGACGTCAAGCCGGCCGAAGCCGCCGACGCTGCCGCCGCTTAGGGAAGGGGCTCGTCGTCTGGATACCCATGGGCAGGATCGGGAGGCGGCGGTCCCCTGCCATCGGACGTGCTGCCCTTTTCCGCCCCTTGGCATGCCGAAAAGTCCGTGCCCAGGCCTTCTTCCACGACCAACTGGTGGCCTGCCGATGTGATGAACCGAAAATGAATTTGATGATGGAAAGTATTTAGATGGAGAGGGAGGGGAGCAGCAAAAGTAACACGGAGGAGGAGGGGTAAAAAAGGATACTCATGGACGATTTTTGCTTGTTGTTTCACAGACAGAGAGCGAGAGAAAGTAGCATACATGATAGCATACGTATATTAGAAGAGAGGATCGAGATACCAATGAAGGCAATGCGCGAGCTCATCTGTCAGACCAATTCTGTTGTTGTTAGCTATGCTAGATCTAGGTCACGCCCCTCTTTGACACTAGCCATTTTTTCTAATATTTTATTTTATTTTATGACAGGCGACACTCTACTTTTAGTAAAAGTTTGAGTTATACAAATAGAGAGAGAAAGAGGGAGGAAAAGAAGTAGAAAGTAGACGTTAGAAAGACAGAAAAACCACACTGCATATTCCAGTGTGACAGTGCATTGATGGACTTTTTCTCCGGGTCGGAAACGCAAAAGACTCTTGGAGGACTAATATTGCAAATAGTGCCATAAGTGGATAATTGGCCTCTATGGCGCAGTGGTAACGCGTCGCACTTGTAATGCGAAGATCCCCCGTTCGATCCGAGGTGGAGGCAATCAAGTTTTTTTTTTTGGACATTTTTCCTTTTCTCTTTTCTTTTTTTTCCGGACCATGCAGCAAGCTTGTTACAAACTGTTCATCCCCCCCCTCTTCTTCTTCTTTCTTATTTTAGTTTCTATTCTATGTATTTTCCTGACTTGGTCGTGTGAATATTGCCCGTCAATGGCTGTACAGGTACAGATCCTGACCGGAGATTCTGCCTGGATGCATTGTGTGAGACGAGTCAAGAGCTCTCTCTCAAGAGCTCTCTCAACAGCCAACGTAGACACCCTATGGCATGATGTTTTAGGAGAGACGAATGGGAGAGAGGGCCTTGATAAGTCTGGGTCTGCAATTGGTATGGTGATATGGTAATTGAAGCTTTATTACTGGTATTATTACTAGTGCTGGGTAGTCACCGGCATCGGCGCAGGTGAGTCAAGGACCGCAGCAGTCAGTCGCTACAGCTGCACGATGACTGCTGCAGCTGAAGACTTGATATACTCTACACTCTTCCGAAAGTCTGCGACTCTTTTCTCTTCTAAGCTTCAATTGCCATTTCTTCTTCAAAAATTTTTTTTTTTTTTAAAAAAAAAAACAATTCTCCCACGACTTTTGGTAGAATTGTCTTTTCGCAGGTTTCAGCTTGCCAAGCCCCACGTAACCCCGCCGCCACAAGGGACCAAGAACCCCCCCCCCTCTCCACGTACAGTCTTTCTTTTTGCGACAAAAAAAAGTCTTAAACTATTCTTCCCCTTAAGATCAAAACGCCATACCATCTCCCCCTCCTCCCCCCTCTCTTCCCCTACGGACAAAAAGAAAGCCCTCCCCCCCCTTCCCCCCCAAAAAAAAAAAGATGTCGTCGTACCCTCCCATCCTCCTCCGGGCGGAGCAGAAGCCCCTGGAGCACCGATCGTTCTCTCCGGCCGTCATCGGCGCCCTGGTCAAGGCCGGCTGCTCGGTGTCGGTTGAGCGTTCGCCGACGGACCCCGAGTTCAAGCGCATCTTCGAGGACGCCGAGTACGAGTCCGTCGGGGCCGAGCTGGTGCCGAGGGGTTCGTGGCCGACCGCCGCACCGGGGACCATCATCCTAGGCCTCAAGGAGATACCGGAGGAGGACTTCCCGCTGACCAACGACCACATCACCTTCGCGCACTGCTACAAGGGTCAGGGCGGGGCCGACAGGGTCCTCGGCCGGTTCCCCCGCGGCGGCTCGACGCTGTACGACCTCGAGTTCCTGGTCGACGAGGCCGGCCGCCGGGTCAGCGCCTTCGGCTACCACGCCGGCTTCACGGGCGCGGCGCTCGGCGTCAAGGCCTGGGCCTGGCAGCTCGCCCACCCGGCCGGCGAGAGGCTGCCGTCGGTCGCCTCCTTCACCGACGGCCGCGGGTACTACCTCAACGAGGAGGAGCTGGTGACACAGATCCGCGACGACGTCGCCGCCGGCGAGAAGCTGGCCGGCCGCCGGCCCACGGCCATGGTGCTGGGCGCGCTCGGGAGGTGCGGACGCGGCGCCTGCGACCTCTTCTCCCGCGTGGGCATCGACACCATTACCAAGTGGGACATTGCCGAGACGAAGAACAGGCAGGGGCCGTACGAGGAGATTGTTCAGCATGACATTTTCCTGAATGCTGTAGGTTTCCTCCTTCTCCTTTTACTTCTCCTCTCTACATTTCTATTCTTATTCTATCTTGCTTTACATTCAATTTTATATCTTACTCTGTTCCCTTACTCTCTTCCTTGTTTTCTTTATCTCCCCTTCTTCTTGATTCTTGATTATACCAAGAAAGAGGAAGAGGAAGAAGATGAAAAGAAAAAAGAAAAAAGAAGGAGAGAAAGAGAGGTAGAGAGAGAGGGAGAGAGAGAGAGAGAGAGAGAGAGGGAGAGAGAAGAGGGAAAACAGACTGACAAATCATTATACAGATCTACCTCTCCGACCCCATCCCTCCCTTTATCAACAACGACCTCCTCTCCCAGCCCGGACGCAAGCTGGCGGTGGTGACGGACGTGTCGTGCGACACGACCAACCCGCACAACCCGATCCCCATCTACTCCGTCAACACTACCTTTGAGGACCCCACGGTGGCCGTCGAGGTCAAGGACGACCAGAACAAGGACGCCACCCCCCTCACCGTCATCAGCATCGACCACCTCCCGTCCATGCTACCCCGCGAGGCGTCCGAGTCCTTCTCCGACGGTCTCAAGGAGTCGCTCCTCCAGCTCAACGAGCGCAAGACGGCCAGGGTGTGGGCCGATGCCGAGAAGCTGTTTAAGGAAAAGGTTGCTCTCCTGCCCGAGTCGTTGAGGACTAAGGAGGTTTAGGTTTAAGGGGATAAAAAAAAATAAAAAACCACGACAATGTCAAGAGAAGGGAAACAAGAACACAAGCACGTCAGAGGAACAAGAAAACAGAAACAAAAACAACGACGACGACGACGACGACGACGACGACGACAACAACAACAACAACAACGTGTAACTGCGACGTATGGTAACCCGCTCTCTCCCCCTCATAAGAAAAAAAATGGTACAAGTGTGTTTGAAATTAGGTTTATTCGTTACAAGGTGGGAGATGTCATGTGCAGCATTGTTCCCATGTGTTGACCATGTGAATTGCCCGACGATGTAAGGGACCCTATGCACTCGTATACGTGATAGCCTTATTATCCATCATGTACGTCGTACGGATGATGTTTCATTTGCCAGGCGATGACGAAGAGTCTCCGTCCCAGGCCATCTCGTGTGCGTGCGTGTGCTTGTGTGCGTGTGCGAGCGTGTCTGTGTGCGTGTGCGTGCGCGTGCGCGCGTGCGTGTGTGTTGTACAGAATCTGTCGAGCACAGTGGTAGTAATTAATGTAGGTGCGAAAGGTGGTGATGGTGATACCCTCTTATTCTCATCTTCATCCCGACTTGTGACCAACCACCTGGATTGGTCTGATAGGGCAGCGATTGAATGACGGGATCTACTCTAACGATACCGGAGAAAGGAAAAAAAACCGCAGAATACAAAATACAAGAGGAAAAAAAGTAAAGAAGAAGAAGAAGGATAGGAAGAGAAGAGAAAGAGACCCCGGCACCCCCCCCCCACTGACCAAGTACCAGATACAGGCCAACCGGCTACTAGAGGTGAGCCACGTCGCGCAGAAAATGGGACGAGATGAGGGGATGTGGGCATACGTGCTACGCTCCGCTCTTTCTGATCAGCCCGGGTACGCCAAGTCTCTCGTGTGTGTATGTACTCCGTACGTATATGCATGTATGTCTGGAACAAACGTTGGGAGCTGTACTATGTGTCTGTCTCCTCAAGAGATGGAGAGAGATAGAGGCAGAGAGGGAGAGATGGAGAGGGAGAGAGAGAGGGAGGGGG